AGAGAGAGAGAGAGGGAGAGAAGACAACAATAATTCAAAAATGACTGCGTACCTTTATAATACGATCACCTCCACCACTAGCAAACCATTGATTCTGGGGTTCTACGTCAACTGCACGCACCCAACCAGTATGTCCTCCACAAGAGAATTTACAAACAATTCGGGTTGCTTCAAAAGACGGCAAGGTTACCTGAGATGACTCTGTATAATTTCCATGGCGCATGCCATTTTGGCTTGACCATCATAGGTGCGCGAAGAGGCAGCAAAGACCGATTAGTATTATCTTCAGCACGACTACTGCTTGAGCCCACTGGGAGAGTACTCAAAACTTGTCTGAAAGATGGCTTTAAAAAACTCATACCAAACTAAAAAAAATGTGTAAGCATAGAAACACAGAAACCAACCCTTGAGGAGCAGATGAGGATGAAGGTACGGGCTTACCCGTACCGTCAGTTATAGCCAATGGACCATCTGCAGCAGTTATGACTGATCCTATTCCAATGGAAGGCTGACTTGCTGGTAACTGAAAAGAGATTTTGGAACAAGCGAGCAGATTTTGGACAAGTCCTCGTCAATAGGTAATGAATTTTCAAACATGAGATGAAAAGGCCAATCAAAATGATGAGATGACTCAATCTTACTTGTCACTATTTTTTTTGAAAAATTTTTCCAAATTTGGCTAATTTTGAAAAAATATTCTCCCATATTTTTCCAAAATTAGCCAAAATTGGAAGAAAAATTTTGCATTGCTTCGAATAGAAGGGTTGTGACTTAATCTCAGCAGTATATATATAGACATTCTGATGAAGTTAATTTGACTATCTTAGTTTTATCCATGACAAAGGTGACGAATTTGGAAGCGAAATTACCGCAAATTGTCGTTCATTTTTGCTAGGTATATTAAATCATTTCACACTTAAGCTTATCACACTGACGAGATTTGATGGAACGCAAAGCTTTGGGATTTAAAGAGTTTTTTGAAGCTCGATTGCAGCTCAGTCATTATCATAAAAAACTCAACATCCTAATCAGTACTGAAATAAACAATGAAT